GTGAGACCTTGTTGGGGATGGAGCTCAGTTGGGAGAGTGAGACCTTGTTGGGGATGGAGCTCAGTTGGTAGAGTGCTCCCCCAGTGTGGGTGAGACCTTGTTGGGGATGGAGCTCAGTTGGGAGAGTGCTCCCCCAGTGTGAATGAGACCTTGTTGGGGATGGAGCTCAGTTGGGAGAGTGCTCCCCCAGTGTGAATGAGACCTTATGTTTGCTCTTAGCATCACATAAAGCACATAACCCCAGCACTTGGGTATAGGCAGATTTTTCTGTCCTGCCAGCAAACTCCTAAATAATGACACAGAGACTTATTAATTATGAAAGCTCAGCCGATAGCTTAGGCTTGTTTCGAGCTAGCTCTTGTAACTTAAATTAACCCATTTCTATTAATTAACGTTCTTTTATGTGGCTCAGTTGCCATTACTTTGTAAAGCCGATGCTGCTTGCTTTGTAGTCCTCCTGTCTCTTGGCCACCCTGCCCTTCTTCTTGCTAGCATTCTCTCTGTCCCACATTTTCTGCCTAGCTATTGGCTTTTTGTTAAACCAATCCCAGTGACACATACTTACAGTGTACAAAAAGATTATTCCACAACACTTGGGAGGTAGATGCAGGAGATCCATGATCAAGGTCACTCTTGACAATATAGTGAGCTCAAGGCTAACTTCCATTACATGAGACCCTAAAAAAAAAAAAAAACAAATAAGAGCATAGAAATATATTAGACTTGATGAAAAAATTCTAAGTAGATATGGAGAAAATTTTATATTGTCACTAAAAGTAAAGAGTATCATACATACATACCATGTATATTTGTTTTCTATTGTTATATATCAAATGATACCACCCATGCTCCCACCTGGGGACAGCCAGGGAGAAGTCCATTCCACCTCCCTCAGGCACTTGCAGAATTCATGATCTTGTGATGATGGATTCACAACACGCCTCCACGGCTGGGCACTTCCACCTAGCCAGTTCCAGGTCAAAATAGCCATTTCCGGGTCAAGGCACCTCGCGTGACCAGGATCCCGTGACTTTGCATGGTTGCGTAAGAGCGTGCAATGCAGCGTGGAGTAGTTACATCGACCTGTGTACGCACGTGCACCACCCAGCCTTTATGCCATATTCCCGGCTCCCTCTTCTTCTTTTCTATACACGTGTCTCTTCCGCAGGCCTGAGCACTTGTCTGTCCTTTCCTCTTATCTTAATAAAACTCTCATTAGTGGATTCTGTCATGTTTCATGACATTTCCTTGCAGAGTTTAGAGCGCTGCTAAATAACTAACATCTTAAGTGTGTGAGCCAAAAATCCCAGAATTCCTGCTAGTTCTCTGTCACATGGATCGAAGCTCCCATGGATCCCTCCATGGGTACTTTACTACATGAGTGGCCACTCCAGGTGAGTCCTGTACTTGGGTTTCTGATCTCCATGTCATCTGTGGGGTTCCTGTGATTACATGATCCCCAATCAGGATGATTTCCCTCTTGGTTTAGTTTAAGGTCAACTGTTTAGAGACTGAGAGACGTCTGTGAAATTCTTTTACCTTCACCCTATAATGCCATTGAGTTCCTTGATGCTGCTCACACATGTCCTGCTCACACTCCAGGGAGGAGAAGGAAGCAGGGCTAGTATACGTATCCCAGAATCTTAGGGGCCATCCTGTCTGCCACAGTATGCCCTCTGAGCCACAATAGTTCACATACCTCCCAAACACAGCAATCTTTCATCCTTCCCAGAACTCTTCCCATAATAAAGTCAGCTTATAGGCCAATAATAGGACATATGCACACATGCATATCTGGATATGTATATATACATATATGCTGAAAAGATTAAATAAATAAACAACAAAAGATGATAAACAAGATTTCAGAGATAAAAAACATAGCTCTCACAAATATAAGGAAATTGAGCTTAGTTTTTAAAAGACCTAGGTTTCAAAATGGGTAAATGCATAAAATTCAGCCACCCTTTTCTCTAAAAGGACAAATTAAAATCAAATGCAAAAAAAAAAAAGAAACCCAAGAAAATGGGGTGGGGGGGAAGGTGTGCCAATTAAATGGTAATTTCCAAACACCCAAGTTTTAATCTGATGACATATAAAACCAGATCTTAAGTACAAAGCATTGCTGGTTTACAGGGCAATGGCTATGCCAGGATTCACTCCAAAAGATGCCATAACCATTGAGTCGTACATGTCACCACAGACATTCACATATGTATACTTATGCATGAAGACAGCCTGAGACTAGAAACTTAACACAACTCTATTAAAATGGATAGAATAAGCTAGCAACAATTCAAATGAGAGGCTCGAGAGACGGCTTGGCTCTTAAGAGAGATCTCTGCCCTTGCACAGGACTGGAGCTCCATTCCCAGCACCCACATCAGACAGCTCATGACCACCAGCTGGAGGGGATCCAATGCCTTCTTCTGACCTCCACATGTACCTGCATGTGAACATACACACAGAGACACAAACACATACATATAAATATTTTTAAACATCAATCTTTAAATAAATTTAAATCAATAGACTCTTTGCAAAGCCTAAGTAATTGGTCTGATTTGATACTGATATACTGGAAGATGTACCTGGACATTCTTTTTTTTTTTTTTAAGCACAAGGTGTCACTTATAGGAATTAGTCATGCCCAATGAACTACCAACAACTTTAAAAGCTTCCATACCATACTCTTGATTGTGATGAAACTAGACTATGAACCAAGAATTCAAAGACAGCTTTAAAACTCAGTATTTTTTAGAAATTTGGACTATATAGGTATAAACATGGCACAAGCCAAGGGGAAAGCTACAGCGCCAGAATTATAATATATTTACATGGAAAGTGGCATCGCAAAACAGGTGGAATGTAGACAAATCATGTTTGAGTGTGAATTCCCAATAGCAAGAAGTAAACAGAAATGCGTTAAGAATTTAAATTAAGATTTAGACAAAGATTTTAGAGAATGTGAATGCAAAAGAGAAAAAGAAATACCATCTAGAAAGAAATAAAATAAAAAGCAAATCTACAACAAGGAGGTTGAGTACAGCAGGGAATTGATTCTCTGAAAAGCAGATTTAAAAGAAAAACAAAAACAAAGCCCAGACATCTATGTAGTAACACTAGGAAGAAAAAAGTGTGAAGACAATAATATCAGCAATAGATATACAGTATGGTGTTGTTGTTTGTTTTTGCTCTTCAAGGGGCCTGCCACCCAGCTCCCAAATAAATCACACACAGGGGTATATTCTTAATTATATATAAACGCCCAGCTTTAGCTTGGCTTGTTTCTTGCCAGCTTTTCTTAACTTTAGATTATCCCATCTACCTTTTCCCTCTGGGATTTTTCCTTTTCTTACTTCTGTATATCTTACTTTCACTCTTACTCTGTGGCTGGCTGTGTGGCTGGGTGGCTGGCACCTTGCATCCTTCTCTTGCTGTTTCTTCTCTTCCTCCCAGATTTCTCCTTCTCTTTACTCTCTCTGCCTGCCAGCCCTGCCTATCCTTTCTCCTGCCTTGCTATTGGCCATTCAGCACTTTATTAGACCATCAGGTGTTTTAGACAGGCAAAGTAACATAGTCTCACAGAGTTAAACAAATGCAACATAAAAGAATGCAACAATTTTTGCATCATTAAACAAATATTCCACAGCATAAACTAATGTAACACATCTTAAAATAATATTCTACAACAGTATAGTTATTAAAATGCGTTAATCTGAAAATCAAAGTTATGAATAGAGCAAGAAGACAAAGAGGAATGTCACTATTAGTCTCCCAGGAAAGCTTCTTTGCATTCAGGAAGAGTCACAGCCCAGGACGCTACCCCTTTCTATCCGGATGCTATCTGAAGATGTGATGCTTGAACTGTGGCAGCCATAGTGGGTCACAAGAAACTAAAGAAACTAACAATGACATTGCTGAGCACCTGAGAAACACACTCCGGAAGAACTGTCATACTTTCTGGAGCCGTTAAGATTTTGTGCAAATACCTGTCGATTCCCAAAAGACTGAACTTTTGCTAGACCTCACAGCAAAGTAAATAATATCCTTTGAAGTGACTTAAGAGCATGAACTTAGCCTGCTCTCCTACTGTGTACTCAGCCTGTCTCTGTTCACCCTGCCTTAAGAGAAGGCACGGCAGCAGGAGTGGGAGGCAGCAGGTCCCATTGCACCCACAGCCAGGAAGCAGAGAGAGGTGAATGCCGGTGCTCAGCTCATCTTCTCCGTTTTAAATGGATGCTTTATTAATTCTTCATGCTGTGTATGTGTGGTTTTTCTTTAGTTTGTTTGCATCGTGGACCTAAATTTCATCAAGTTGGCATTGGAAACCAAACGTCATGTCTTCCATTCTCCAATTACATTAGTAGGCAGTTTAAGTATAAAAAGCAATTTTATGATAATACTCGTTAATTTTTCAGGAACAATTTCAGCAAAAAACAAAATCCTAAGGAAATCAGCTTTAACATAAAAATATGTCAGTGACACACGTTGATGAGCCACATAGTCTTGGGTATTAGTTATATTCTTTGTTTGTTTGTTAAAATTTGTTTATTTTTATTTTATGTGTGTGAGTGTTTTGACATCATGTTAATTATGTGCACCATGTACATGTCTGGTGCCCATGAAGGTCAGAAGAGGCACTAGATCCTCCAGAAATGGAGTTACAGATGCTTGTGAGCTGTCTTGTGGATGCTGGGAACTGAAACTGGGTCCTCTGTAAAAGCAGTACGTGTTCTTAACAGCTCAGATAACTTTCTCGAGTTTCCTAATTTTTTTTCCTTCCCGAGACAGGGTTTTTCTGTGTAGTTTTGGTGCCTGTCCTGGATCTTGCTTTGTAGACCAGGCTGGCCTCGAACTCACAGAGATCCTCCTGCATCTGCCTCCTGAGTGCTGGGACTAAAGGCGTGCACCACCACCGCCCAGCAAGTTTCCTATTTCTTGCTAGATCAACTTCCTTGTTTGTCATAAGGGAACCTGGGATTGGAGTCAGAGTTACTTAATGATATTTTTCTTGCCATACATGAAGACATGACTTCAGAGCTCCCAAGGTTTTGACAGTCCTATTAAGATGGCATCTACTGCTAGTTGGGCCTCCCCATAGGGGAATATGCTGTGAAGACATTTTAAACCTCTCTCCCTCTTCCTGTTCCTCTCCCTGCCCCTCTCCTTGTCCCTGTTCCTGTTCCTACTGCTCCCCCCTCCCTCCCCCTCCCTCCCCACCCTATTTCTCTCCCATGCTGAACGCAACTCCATGCCCCCCCCCCACTCAGGTTGCCCTTTGGATGAAGCAGCAGGAAGCAGGCAAACATCCCTGTCCCCAGACAGAACAGGAAACGTATAGAAGATGTTCTTTTTAGACCAGAACAAGGCTGCAACAGAGCCAGAGTTAGAACTCTGAGGTCTGACTGTTCAGTCTTAGATTTGTTCTGAGGAGAAAGAAATCACTGAAGGGTCTTTCGGTGCCTTTCTGGGTGGCTCCTGCATGTGACAAACAGACGTTTTACCCCTGAAGTTCTGCCACCAGCTGTGATACAGAGCTATCCCAGTGCAGCTGGAGAAAGCCTGGTTAATGTGTGCTGTGTAAATCACTTCAAATTTCTCACAGGAACGCAAGATGTACATTAACTACCAAGTCTAATGGTGTGGGAAGGAAATAGGAGCTGAATCACACACAGCACTGAGATGTCTTAAGAGGCAGGTTGTGTGCACAGGAGCCGCAGCTGTAGCTGAAGAAGGAGAACAGTGCTGCTCAGGGGCTGGGTTGTGTTCTGTGGTGGGGCTCAAAGGATGAATGAGGCGAACTGCTGCCCCAGAGTTCAAGCTGGGACACTGGAGCTTGGCAATGATGGAACATTCTAGTTGCTCCAGAATGATCCAGAATCATCCAGCCTCTGCTCACCTCTTTTTCATGATGCCATCAATGGCTCAGCTCCACACACTTTGCTATATTCACACCTTTTGCCATGGGATTTGA